GTTCTTTCTCCCCCAGTGGATTGTAAGCATCAAAGGAATACAGAGTTATTAACATATACACCATCCGCACCTACAACCTATTTCCAGAAGTTTTCTACAACAATAAACATTTTTTCATTCAGTTCTCATGGGAGAAATTATCATCTTATGTCCTTTAACTATAAATTCACTTCAATTCTACAAGCATTTGAGTACCAGCAGTATATATAAAAGGATGTCACCGTAAGGATTTTACAGCGGGGAAGGGGGTAACAAAATACAGGTAGACAAATATCAAGCAGGAAGAATAATTACATAAGAAGGTACAACTAGTGCTTTAGGGCAGAAGAGGACCTGTCAGGTATCCTGGTGCTAAGAGAAACTAGGAAGCAGTCCAAGAAAAAAGCAGCCATTATCTAACTCCGTAATAGCAAAAGTGTAAGATGATTTACTGTATCCCCACTATTACTCAGAAAAGCCTAATGGATTAATAAGAAAAGAAAAAAATCAAGGCAGGTCTTAGAAATTTACCCTGGCTTCATCACACTACCAATGTCAGGGACTCATCCCGCTTCCGTACCAGTAAGCCAAAACTAGTCTTAGAACAAATCCTTCTAGAGCCAAAGTTTCCTGGAAAATTTCACAGCAGAAAACACGGTATAGTTTTCTTTATACGCATACTCTAATTGTCTTTTAGTTATGACATCTTTTAGGTCCTGGAAATGTGCTAACTGGAATAGTTACACACTACAATCTCATGGTCAGTATGTAGACAGCACAAGGTGCTAACAATAAAGCAGTTTAATTTCATTTAATAAGTACATTTTCTGTTTCCTCTAAAAATCAACTGGGACAGAGGTGGGTATGAGGGGTCTGCAAATTCAAAAGACATCAAGCATTACCTGTAGGTCAAATAAATTGAAAGTATAACTACTATCATGTAGAAGGATACAATCTGGAAGACTAGGGACAAAAGTCCCACCCTTTATTAACTCTTTAGAAAAGATTTAAAAATAACCAGGCAACTTTCTCATCTCTAACAGCACACAAATTACTTACAACAAAAATCAGAAAAATCTGTTTTCCTAAAGACTGAATGGGCCTGGCCAGTTACTTACTTAACTTTTTTGAGCCTGTTTTCTCAAATTTAAGCCTGAGGAAGCTTGACTAGATGCCCTCAGAGAAAAAACTGACTTAATTAACTAGGATAATTACTTACAGATTGACTTCAGCAAGAATTCTGGTTCAGTCCTAATTCCCCCATCAACAGGAAAAATACAGAACTGTGGTAGTTATTAAAATATTAAAATGTCATAAATCCTTTGATACTCTTCCCTTCAAGGCATGGATATTAACTTTCCTCTCCCTTGGCTGAAGGCTGGACTCAGTGACTTGCCTGTAACTAACAGCATGTGGCAGTGATAGTGTGGCTTCCTTCTTGCTCTTGCCTGGATCACTTGTTCTGGGGGAAGCCAACCACCATGTTGTGAGGACACTCAAGCAGCCCAATGGAGAAGAACTGAGAACTGCTGAGCACTAACCAGCTGGAGTGTGAGCCACCTGGGAAGCAGATTCTCCACCTCAGTCAACATCCTGACATAAAAAACACCCAGAACCACCTAAGTAAGCCATCCCCCAATTCTTGACCCCCAGAAACTCTGGGTAAACAAATGTTTACTGTTTTAAACCACCAAGTTTTGGGGTACTCTGTAACTGCAACTAATACTAAAAACTAATATACCAGTGTTTTTCAAACTGTGGACCCTAATTCATTTGTGTTTTATGAAATCAATTTAAGGTCCCACAATCAGCTATTTAAAAAAAAATGAAATAGAAAAGACAACAGAATATATAACTCATAACAAGTACTACTTCATGAAAACTGTTTCAACTATACATATACATGTGTACCAGGTAACATTTTATAAAATGTACTTCTTAGAATCACACCAAGGAAGTTTGAAACCCACAAGCCTACACTAAAAAGTTTAAAACAAACAATTCCCTAAAGAATAGGGAATCCTTGAAGGAATATAGTCTCAGTAATAACCAATTATAAAATAAGCATTTTCTGTAAACTTTTTAATGAAGACAATGAAATATAAAACACTCAAAATACATCTTTTCTGACTTATATGTTAAAGTTGATATAAAACACAGAAGGCATGGTATCTGCCCTAGACATAAATCTAGCATGTAAAAAGCATGTTGTTTTCCTAATTTAAGAGATTACCCATAGAACATCCTTCAAAAAATTATGTAGTGAAAAAACAGCTTTGGCATCTACCCACATGTATTACTTCCTCTTACTATTACTTTCATCATCAGTGTAAAGGAAACTATCTTCAATCTGAAGGCATACAAATTTTTATCCAAAAAAGAAAAAGTTAAGCACAGTACTATTAAATAGCTTTCTGCCCACTGCCCAAGTCTCACTGGAACTATCCTCTTCAGAACACAAGTGCGTGCATATTTTCTGGTTGTATCTCAGCATAACATACAACAAAACTTTCAGCAACACAAGACTGCAGAATATTTATGCATAACTAAATTGATGAATCCATTCAGATTATTTGCTTGCACTGTGATTTTCTTGGAGGTAAAATGTGTGAAACTATTTTTGAAACCCTAATTTGCCAAATTTATTTTCAAAATGCAAAATAAATCAGTACACAAACACTAAAATGATGGCTTAAATTATTTTTCTTATTACTTAACTCAGGGCATCTGGGGCTCTCCCACAAGGAGACTAATGGACAGCTTCCCTTGGCCTAATCCTGAAATACACTACTAGCCCTTTTCTGTAAGAACTAAGTTTTCTCCCCAATATTTGCATATGTACCCATCTGAATGTTTCTACTTCAACCAATTGTAGAAAGCAGATACAATTTGTATAGCATTCTTTATAAGGTTATTATTTGATGATGGTGACTAAAAAGCAAAATGATTGGCATACTTGGCAAAATCCAAGAACAGATGATTATGCCTTGAAAGGACTAGCGGCAAAGCAGCCCAGCTCTAAATTTGAGAGCAGCAGCTCTAGAAGACAAGGATACTCCTGACAGCACTTTCTCTAGGAAAAAGATTCAAGAGTTTTAGAAATAACCCCTGGGTCTATTCCTATACAACTACATGTGGTTCTGCAAAACTTCGTTGATCTTAAGAATAAGCATAGTTACTTTGCCTCAAGGCCAACTACTTGAGACACATAGGCAACTTTCTGCCCAATGGCTTCATCTAAAACTTTAGCATTAGTTTTGTCCCTTTTTCCTTCAGTTCCCTTTAAATCAGTTTACTCTCCATGTAAGCACTCATCAGACCATACACTTTAAAGTCCAGAGTCTAAAAGAATTAAGAACCCAGAGATCTCTGTGTCTTCCAATCAAAATCACTTTAGTTTCCCAATGAGATGAAATAGATCTCAACTGTAGAGCCAATCCAAGGAACCCACCATGCCGGTCTGATGACCAACTCTGATGTTTTAGTGATAACGCACTAAAAATACTTTTACCAGACATTTAACAAATCATTTATTTAGCTGATCAAAGAACAAAAAAGCTCGAGGTGGGTAAGTACTGAATCTATTACTCACTTTTGGACCATTTAAGTTACACAGCTGCTTATTTTGTCTTCAAAGAAGAAAGAATTAGTCATAAGTAGTCCCCGGTACAACTGGATTACCAAATCACACTCAGATTTTTAGAAGGGACACTTCTGTATACTAATTAACTGTCGTAAGATAGTAAGCGTGCCTTAAGTACTTTGTGAACTACGTGCCAGGGCACTGTGCTGAGGTCTGGCTCTGTAAACCAAACAAACGCGTTTCACATCAAATCAAGTTTATAACCAGGATATCATGCTTTATAGCCAAAAAGTAGCCTGGGAACTGCTGCCTTCATTTCCTTACAGATCAAGCCACATTCTTTTTTAAGTCTTCAAAATCTTATATTATGGAAAATAAAGAAACCATTAGATGCAGTCCTCAAAGGACTAAATTGTCCTAATAAAGATACAAATAAAATTCCAGCAACAATGCACAAGTAAACTTTAAAACGTTAAGAAAGACCATCGAAGAATCTTAAGTGCCATGCTTGCCATGTTACCATGTCTCTTTCAGGGCGTCCCTGTTAGATTTCAGGACCTCTAAATTTAAAAGAATGGCCACCTCTGGAATCCACCCCAACAGTACCTCAGAGACCAAAACTTAAAAGGAGAGTAAACTGTACTTAAGCAACATTTTTTGCACACTTCGATTTTTCTGAATCAAAGCTTCATAAGCTAAAACCCAATTACTGAAATAAGCAACAAATTCAATCCTAAAAAGAAACGTCTTACATCACACTCAACTAGTCTGTAAGGAAGCACTTCCACCTCTACGCACAGCACAAACAAGCATTTCTTTTTCAGTATGACTCCTCAATTACCACTGGCGATATAAAGGTACTAGTGATTCACAATTATCTCCCTGATTCTCAAGTCCACTCACTCCATTTCAAATCTGAAGGTTAAAACTTATGCTAACACGGGAAGCAGACGGACAAAGGTGTAGGCCAAGAGATGTCAAGAACCTTGCAGAAGGCTCCAAGCAGTAGTTCTCCATCCCTTCCCCGAGCATCTCCAGGACTGCCTACCTAAACACTTTATGTAAACATGGGGCTTGTGACTCAAGCCTCCAGCCCCAATAGGTGGAGAGAAGTTTCCTCGCCTCGGCTGCACATGGTTTGCAGAAGTTTGGCTGGAGCAGAGCGCGGAGCCTGGGTGGGAGCGGCAGTGTACTTAGTGCTGCAGGCGGCGGCGGCGGCGGCGGCAGAGCAGCAGGAGGCGGAGGCGGGCGGGGGGAGGGGAGGCGGCTGGGGGGGGCGGAGGGGGCTCTTGCCGCCACAGCCCTCTCGCCGCCTCTCCCCCCCGGCGGGAGCCGCTCTCAGCCTCTTTGCACTAGTCGCTCCGCTCTCTCGGTCATGTGACCTTAACGTAACCGGACAGGAAAAGCCCCGCCGCCGCCGCCGCCGCCGCGCCGGAGACACCGACCGCGGCGGCAGCAGCAGCAGCAGCAGCAGCAGCGAGAGGCAGAGGCGGCGGCGGCGGGGAGAGCACGGCCAAGGCTGCCCAGCGGTGCCTCCTCCACACCCCCCGCCGCAGCAGCACCGGCGACAGGTAAGCGCGCACCGCCTCCGCCTCCCGGGGCCGGTGCCCACGTGCCGCCCCCGACCCAAGCTCCGGGAAGGCGGGGGGGGGCGGGGGCCACCGGAGCTCTCAAACGGTTCCGGCAGCGACGGTGGCAACAAAGACGACGAATGACCCCCGTCCCGGGGCTTCGGGTGAAGGCAGGCGGAGGGCCCGAACCACACGGGAACCCGGTTCTGGGAAGCGAGGGCAGGGGCGCCCCGCGGGGGCGGTGGCGGCTGCGCCTGGCGCCGGGGCTCTGGCCGCCTGACAAAACCATCCCCCGGAGCCAGGCGGCGGCGAGTCGGCAGCGGCTCCATCCGGGGCTTTGCGGGAGGGGGAGGGGACGGAAGCCGAGAGGGCGGGCGGCGGAGCGGGGAGGGAGGGAGGAAGGGGAGGGGGGCGATTCGCGTTCCGTTCCCCGTCGCCGGTCCCTCCCTTCCCGCCGCCACCGCGAAGCGCGTCCCGAGCGGCGGCGGCCGGTGAGAGTCCCGCGCTGGAGCCCCGATAGGCGGGCCCGTCAGGTGCGTAATCCTTCCGACGCCTCGCCGCCGCCTCCTGCTGCTATCGCCGCTGCTTCTTCGGCGGCAAGGCCGCGAGCTGCGGAAGTGGGTTTGGGGGAGGGGAGCGGAGAGGGAGGGGGAGGGGAGGGATCCGGTCCGACCGGAGCAGGCCCGGCCTCTCTGGCGCTTCTCCCAGCTGCAGCGGCTCCTACAGCTGCTGCCGCTACTGCTACGGCTCCGCCTCCCCGCTCGCGGGCGGGGGCGCGCACGCGCGCTTCCGGCCTCCTCGGGTCTCGCGCTGTCTCCCGCTCTCGCGCGCGCTCTTCCCCTCTCCCTGTCTGGCCACCCCCCGCCCCCGGCGCCGGAGCTGTTGCGCCGGCCGGGGCGTTGCGCACGGCGTAGGCGTCGGCATTGTGTTAAACTCCGCGGGACTTGGGGCGAGCGCGCGCGCGCGCACGCGGGACTGAAGGAAGTGGAGAGCGTGCGGCGCGGCCCGAGTGCGTCGCTCCTCTCCCCTCCCCTCAGCCCCTCGGGGATGGGGGCGGGGCCGGGGTGCGCGGCGCCCGGGCCCGCCGGGCCCCCGTCGGTCCGGCCGGCCCCGCCCCCTGGGCGTGGGCGGGACGAGGCTGACGGGGTGGCCGTTGGGCTGCTGTCAGGAGGGCGGGGGAAAGGCCGGGCTCCTTGGGCGCCTCACGGGCCGCCCGCTGCAGCCCAGGCCGCGGGTGTGGGCTCGCTGAGCCTGCGGCCTCGAGCTTCCGCTCCACTGGCAGTCGGCGCCTCGGATCAGGCCGAGGCTAGCCCAGAGCTGCTCTGTGGTTTGTGGCTGATTGGCTGCGGGACCGGCCTCCGAGCCGCGCTCCCGGCCGATGCGGCCCTCACTCCGGCAGGGCTCCGCAAAGGGGAGGTTGGGGGCGCGGAGGCTGCTTCCTGGGGCCGGAGTGTTTTTCTCTCTGTCGCGAAATCCCCTAACCATTAATTTTTAAACAAGGCTGCAGAGAGAACTAGTAATGCAGAAGATGCTTAGAAAGCAAGGTTTTTGTCACTTTCAGCTGGTAGGGAATTAAGAGGGCAATAAAGAAGAAAGCAAGGGTAGCAGAGCTGGCGAGAAAGTGGGCAGAGTGAAAATGCAGTTAGTTATTGCTACGCCATTTACCGCTAGAACTTCAGCTGCTGAACTCCTGATTATGCCTTAGGGAAATAACCCAGGCTCCTTGCTCCCCCCACCGTCTGCAGTGTTCATTAGCTCTTAATCATACAATGGGCCCACTTGGTGTGTGTGTCTCAAAGTCCATTCCTCTTCATAGGTTATTGTTTAGTAAAATAAAGCCTAAAAAAGATCGGAATCACGGGCTCACATAGAACTCCAAGGTGCTCTGGGTTTTCTTAAACGGGCTGCTCTGTCTTTTCTAGGACCAACCTTTGTTTTGACCCTAGTGGGTCACTGGAGCAAGGTGTACATACCACGAGCATTTTAGAATGCAGGGGCCTGAAATTTTAGAAGGAAATCAGAGTCAAGACGTTTTAAACCTTCGTTTCTCTGGTCACAAACCAAAACTAATTGTTAAGTATTATTTTTTATTCTAAGTAATCTTGGTGTGTGTCCTTAAGAAGGAAGTTTATGACTAATACTGCATTCCTTTCAACTGGGCGTTTCTCACTTAATAAATGCGTGGTTTGTGTAAGTTTATTTTCTAGCCATAAAATTGACCTGTTATTGAAACCATCTTAAGGTCTCAGAGTACAAAAAGTGGTATACCAGTGATGACAGTACCAGGAATAGTCAACAGCAGAGGAGTCCTGGTGAAGGGTGGCAGATAAACCACCCTTAAAGCTTTGCTGTACAGTTCAGCCGCTTACCTGCCAGTTTTACAGCTTCTCTTCAGAGAGTGTATAAATACTGGAGGGTATGGCTCAGTGGTAAAGTGCTGCGCCCAGCATGCATAAGGTCCTGGGTTCAATTCCCAGTACGTCCATTAAATAGATAAACCTAATTACCTCCCCCTACCAAAAAAAAAAAGGTATAAATAAATGGTGGTCTGCAAACTCTTCCACTGAGTTTACCACAGCAGCAGAGGCTAAACACTCAACATGTTCTAGGTCATAGAATAAAAGCTGTCGCAATGACAGTTTCTTTTTTATCTTAATGATTAATAAATCTGCACTCTCATGATGTAAAAACTTTATAAAATTATATAAAATTTTATTTACCTCAATCCTCCAAAAAGAGGCACCTTATAAATACTGCACCTTATAAATACTGTATGAGGGCATATGCTGTCCCCAGCCTGAGGATCACTGACACGGAGATCTAGGGAGTGAGGGAGACATCTAAGGCTGATGATACATGGCACTGGCTTAGAATCAGCTTTTTTGGAGTTGGAGATTCTCCTGCCATCTCTTACCTGTCTCTTGTTGCTTCATCCCTAAACCCACTCACCTTTCCCTGAAGTAACTTTGAAATTTTGGACCAGTATTATGGCGCCAGGCCATCACAGTAAAGGAAGAGCTGCTGGTCAACTGGAGACCTTACCATAAATTTAAAAATACATCTAAAGAAGGGGCATTTATCACTTTTCCTACTTTGTATGATCGTTAGGTCACAAAGCATGACCCTGAAAACCTAAAAGGGAAATCAAGAAAAAAAAAACATTCTAAGCATTAGATCAAGAACGTTTCTTGACCTTTTTTTATGCTCAAGTAGGTTATAGTTTTTATTAGCAAATTAAACTTAAGTAATTAAATGTTTTTGAATCCACAGTAAATAAGAGTCAGTGTTTACAGTGCTGATAGTGCCGTTAAGAGATGGAGGCAGTAGCCACAGAGCACTTAGGAGGAGTTGGCCATCCAAGACAGTTTAGGACTTTTGCGGGGGAGGGTGACGTTTCAAAGGCTAAGTTTTGAGGTTGGTATGTACATTCAAATGCATAATCCCCAGCTCACATGCATGAGGAATGATGCATCATGTGAAATTCTCAGGTCAGGAAAGCTCAGTGTGCAAAGATGGGAATTTATAAAGCAATTTAATGCATGTAGTTAAGTGCTTATAAAACACATTTTACTTTACAAGAGAATTGAGTGTACAGTTTCTTTACATAGTGTACACCCCTAAGTTCTGCACCAGGAAAGGGTGAATGTTAAAATCGTGTGAGAATGATTTCAAAGTGTATACATGTTCTCCTACACCACGCCTCGTCATTTAGATTCTCCAGGTCCCCAGAGTGGTTCTGAACTGGGGGTGTCCAAGTGTGATCTGCAGTTCCTCGTGAATCCCCAGAACCCTTTCAGGGTTCCGTAAGGTCAAAGCTGTTTTCATAATGATACTACGATATGATTGGCCTTTTTTACTGTTGACAAAATGTGTCAGCGTTGGGGAGTTCTGTATAACTCAGTGAGCTGATCTTTTCAAAATGACCAGTGGATGATGTTAAAAATCCTACACGGGTAAAAGGTCCACTCAAAGTGCCAAAGACAGCAGTAAATTTTACAGTAAAAGAGTGGGAAGTGTTCATTCGCCCATATACTTTTAGATCGCACAACTAACCTTTAAGAAACTACACTTGTCAAGTTTTGGTGTCGTATCGAAGAAGATCCACAATTACCTGGAAAGTCTATTAAAACGCTCCTTTTTTTTTTTCAACTATGCATGTATGGGTGAGACTAGATTTTTTTTTTTTAATACTCAACCAGAACAGGTATCGCAACAGGGTAAATGGAAAAACAAGGTAAATGCCAAGACCAGTTGTCTTCTAACAAAGAGATACATAAAAATATAAAAAGATGCCACTTCACTAATTTTTGTTGTTTTGGGAAATACAATTTTCCATAAAAATGTGTTATTTATATTAACATGCAATGTGCTATCATTGCTGTGTCTAATTGAATTAATAAATATTTAAAAATTTTTTCCATTTTAACTTCTAATCTGATAAATATCAATAGTTACATTCCATATAAACAAAATCTCTGATGTCCTCAGTAATTGTAGAGTGTGAAGGGGTCCTGATACCAAAAAGTTCGAGAACCCCTGAAATAAAATGTTGAAATAAATTGTTTACTTAAGACTTTAAATTAAAATACACTTGGAGCTCCTCCCTGGCATATACTGAGCTGTACCTATAGTTGACTGTATTTTCTTCAGATTAATTTTACTGATCATCATACAACATATTAAAAAAATGGCTTTGATGGCTTATTAGAAGCAAATTAGATTAGGTTTTAAATTCTGCTGTGCGGTCACATCTAGGTTTCCTTAAAGTTGGTTGTAGCATAATGCCTTTAGAATTATCACTTTAATATCAACTCTTTATTAGCCATATATCTATGACCTGCTTCTCCTTGAACTAAGCTGTCCCTGAACTGCCTCCTTCTGACCTCAACTTATATTCAGAAATTAAAAACTAATTTTAAAGTTAATGTAAGCAAAGTACAGTTAAAAAGAAATCTTTTACAAATGCAGTGCTCTCCAAAGTTGAAATAAGCACCGTTGGT